AGCGGTACGGGCTTTTCCACGTCTCACCGGTCGCGGTTGGGGTTGCCGGCCCTGATGACTGTGCCGAGTGGGATGCGAGGGGCGGAGATGTGGGCTTTTCCGCGTAGGGTGGCGAGTTTCGTGCGAATGTCGTTCTCTTTGGTAGTACCCGCGTCACCGACGGTGGTCGCGCGGGTGGCGTCCGGCTCCCGGCCCGGGGAAAGGCTCGGTGTCTCCGCAGCTGACGTCTTCGTCTGACGAGATGCTTATTATTTCGGGTTCCATCTGTAAATTCAGCTTATTGGTTAACTTACTCGTTACTTATTTGTTAATGCCGTATCCTCTCAGTTCGGCTCACATTTTACTAGGCCTATTCTCAATTATGTTATTAGTGTTAGTCTTATCTAAACTTTATTATAATTGTTTCGTTGGGCGACGGGTGTCGCTCTCACCCTTGCCTACTCGTGGGCATTTACGTGCACTGGATCTTCGTCTTCTTCGTCGCCCGTCGCCTTTTGGTAGAATGGTTTCAACTGTGAAATGTTGGCCACCCTCTTCTTATGCTCGCCTGATTTCACCAGCCGTACAATATTGAGGGACTTGAATTTGACGACCCTGTAGGGACCGTCAGCATGCGACCAGCCCTTTCAGTTGCTCACTCTTGAATTTTTGACAGTCTTCGCAACATCTCACGTTTCTGGCGGCATCGCGGAACATACCCAGCGAGTAGTACCGCTGGGCTAACCTCGACACCGTTTTCCTGACACCTTGTTGTCCGGCCGTGAGAGCATCATGACATTCCCGCAGTACCCTCTGGCGTTGAGCACTGCCTATGCATAGTTTCCAGGGGATGTAGTCCTCATCGTCTATCCGGTGACCCAAATGCCTATATAGCTGTCCGTTTTCCTCGATGTTATCCGGGAACTTGGCTGGCTCTTCGGCGATTCTGGCACGCATACTCGCGACCCATTTGCAGGGGCCCTCGCCCACCACTGCATGCTGACAAGTCTCTAGAGGATGCCTCGCTAGCGCATCGGTCACGACGTTAAGCTTCCCTCGTCGATAATAGACGTCAAATTGGAACTGTTGCAGCTCTAAAGCCCATCGCGCGATTTTTCCGGACGGACTCTCGATCGAGTTGAGTCACTTGAGTGCTAGACGGTCAGTTATCACGTTGAACCGGTACCCTTCGAAGTAGCAGCGCAACGGATCGACCACACGCCGAGTGTAGACCAAATCGCATCACACGCCATTGGAAAAGACCTCTTCCAGGGACTGTGAACGCCGCACACTCCCGACTATCGGCTGCTATCGGTATCTGCCAGTACCCGTGCTTCAAATCCATAGTGGAGATTAACCGGGCGTGACGCAACCGCTTCAGGATGTGGTTAATACGAGCCACCGGATAAGCGTCCGGAATGGAATGCCCGTTGAGTTGTCGGTATTTGGCGGTTGGCATTTGCCCGGATCAGCTCATCCACTTGTTCGTCGATCACCCTCTGCATGGCCGGATTCTTGGGATAGTATCTCTGTTTTAACGGCTTGTTATCATTCAGCCGGATTCTGTGCTCTGCGATGTGTGAGACTCCCCGCAGAACCTCGAAGAGAGCCAGATCCGCTGGCCACTCCGGCTCTTCGATGCCGTTCTCGCGCCCTCCTGGCACCACTTCGACTCCAGACAGAACTCCATGACCGCTCGATTCTGGCAGTCGCTCCTGGCCCCCTGTGTCCGTGTGGATTCTGACCACTGCTCCTACCCCGTCCCTTCCTTGGCACGTTCCCTTCCTCCGACTCCCTCTGTCGCCGAGCAGGCGCTCCCATTTTCAAAACCTGGGAGGCCTTCCTCCGGATCCCTCAGTAGCCGAGCAGGGGCTCCCCTTTCATGACCTGGGAGGCTTTTCTCTGACTTCTCGCTCGTTCCTGGGCCCACGCCCGGTGTCGTCACTGCTTCTAGAACCTGTTTTGCCTCGCCGCAGCGTATTGTAGTGCACATTGCACCCAAGTAATCCATACCCAGGATTACGAGGTCCAACATTGAGGGCATGGTGACCATCGTCATGCTTTTTTCCCTAAGCTGACGTCTACTCTCAATGCTTTCTCCACCTCTATGGTGGACCCAGACGGATGCGTGCCTGTATTTCCTCCGCTCTTCCCCGAATCGTCCACTTGCGTACACAGTCTTCACTCATGAAGCTACGAGTGGCTCCCGTATCGATCGTGGCAGGCATCGTCCGCCGATCTCTACCGTAGCGACGATTCGACCACCGTCCACCTTCAGCGGGTGTCCTACTACTGCGTTCCGTGTGTATCGGCGCCGAACCGATCCTGGTGCGGGCGACGCCGTTGCCCTAGACGGAAAAGCTTGGGGGCGCCTTCTCACGCACGTACAGTTGGGAGCTCCTGAGGTCAGACTCCGACATTTGACGTGGCTGCCCGCCAACGTCGGGTGGGACGCCCCATGATGGTGGCTTAAGAATGGCGAATGACCGCCATCCTGCACGTAGGGGGACAGCCGCTTACGTAGCTCCTCCACGTGCCCCTCTTTTTCCAGCCCAAACTCCTGAGCGAGCGCCACTAACTCCTCTTTGCATCGCTGGTGAATCCAACGGACGCCTAGCCCCTTGGCACTCACCTGCCTCCATTCTTTATTATATACCTCCTTGGTAGCCGACGTTGCTGTTTCCGTCTCTTGCTGTTTTAGGTGTTCCGTCGCTCCTTTTATTATTTCTCTCTTTTTTTGATCAGTTGGTGTCTTTTGCACTTTATCGCCAATCTTACTCAGCCACTTTTGTTCCTTTTAGTTTTCTCTTTATTTTGCCTTTATATCTTCCACCAAACAAAGATACAAAAAAATTCCTCACTTTGTCGCTGCCTTCGCCTTTATTGTACCTTATTATACCTTGGTTTATGCTAGTGTACTTAACTGTTTGTTTTATTTCTTTTATTTATTTTTGCTTAATTAATTTTATTTATAAAAAATTTTATTTTTATCCACTTATTTTTAGTTATCTTTAGCCATTTCACGAAATAAAAAAAAATAATTCTCTTGACGTTCTTGACACTTTAACCCGCGTTCGTTTGATTCGTTTGGCGCTTGTTCTGTTCTTATTGTTCACTTCGTTCGCATTCAATCTTAAAATGCGACCACCTCACTGCCCCCGACAACTGTACTGACGAATTCAACTTTTCACCGCGCGTGAGTTGAATTTGTCCCACTGTACAGCCGCTGCCACGACGCATTAACAGCCCTTCGACGCCGACGTCGACTGCGCCGCGCGTTTGTGCACCAGGGTGCGAGCGTGATCTCGACGTCGCCCGTCTGGCGCGCGCGCGCTAAACTTTTACGACCGACCGTTATGTTTTCGTCTCCTTGCTTTGCGTGCTAGATTTTTGCAAGCATTTTCGTCACTAAAAATCTCCACGTGTTCATTTTCTGCCTCTGCCTAACACAGGGTATAAAAATGTTCGCTGGGGTATACTGGACTACTGGACTACTTTCCCTCTAGGTTATACCCGACAAAAAATACCCCTTTTTAAAAAAAAAATACTTTTTTTTTTTAAACACTTTTTTGGGCATGGTTGCGGGCTTGAATCCGCTGACATGCCACACTACTGGCCGGGGTATAACTTTCAGTCCTACCAGGTCTAGCGAGTTACAAGATATTTATAATTTGGCTGGGAGGTAAGGCTTAAGGGGAAGGGGGGTGAGTATCCTGACCAGACCAAGCCTAGCTATATTTCTGCACGCCTGCACTACCGGGTCGTGGCCTCGTACCAACTACACTAGCGGGCCGTGGCCTCATGCCAACTCCACTACCCAAACTCTCTATCGGGGCGGGGCCTCGTACCACTACTCTATCGGGCCGGAGCCTCGCCCCAACTCCACTGCCCAAACGCTCTATCGGGCCGTGGCCTCGTACCACTACTCTATCGAAAAACCAACCGGTAATGCCCACCCCGGGGCCACAATCTCGTACCACATGCTCTTGATCGAGGTTAGGTCGAACGCCGATTAATTCCGATGTTAAGGTAAGCCAGGTTACCAGAAAACTAAGAATTATCCGGTTTCTTCTTGATAATTATAACATATGTACTTTATTCACTCCCCGCTTATTGCTACTTTATAGTACCTCACGAGCTAAACCCTGCCGTACTGCTTTCTGAAGCCCTAGCGGTCCGCTGTACACTCTATGACCTTCCTCGTCTCACAATGCACGTCTACTCACCTTTAGCGTTCTATTCAAGGACCTGGCGCGATCGCCGTCAAGCTATGCGCTTGCCTCGGCCGCTCAACTTCGCCGCGAGCTTTCGTAACTTCGCCTCGGAGCTTTCGCTCTTCGCCGCCGAATTGGAGTTGCGCTCCTAATGCGGTGTTGAGCAACCGATCAACAACGTACGGTTGCAGCGGCAGCCTGTTAAATTAAAATTCGCTTTTATAACTTTCGTGGGTCCTTCCCTCTTTACACACTAATATAATTGTTGATTATAATATAAATAAACACTGCGGCTTATAATATTGTCGGCTCCTTGCCTCCTTGCCATGGGAACGATGGCTCCTCGCCAAGAAAACTGTGGGGCGGCAGACCTAAGTAGCCGCCTCACAATATTAACGTCTTATCCTTGTTGTTTACATTTTTGGCTCTTACACCTGGTCTACTAGTGTAGTTCATTTATTAGAAGTTCCTGATGTTTGATGTTATCGATTTTGTAGTTCATTATGGAAAGTGTTTTGTGGATCTGTCTTACTACAGAAGTTGATACATGACCTTTTGCTTTTATGGCTTAAAGTCGCGAATGGTCATATTAAAAATGATTGGAAATTGTACTTTTATATGATCATATTTTAAGAAAAGTGACGACATTAAATTTAGATAAAGACACGCTGGATTATATAATATCATAAAAAACAAAAACAAATTTAAATAGACCGACAGCACACCTTATTTTAATATCCTCTATCTACGGTAACAAACAAATAATTCTTATAATATTTTGAATCACAGGTTATTTTTTTTTTAAATCATTCACTCTTTGCAAACGTCTAAATTTATTGTTTATTTTTGTTTGTAATTTTTTCTTAGCTATGAGCCAGACTTTTAATATATCAACAGAATATACACGACTAAAGCAGTTACAAACAATTCCAAATAACCCGATGAGCCGCCTTTTTGAAATGGTATTAATTAAGCGGGAATGCTACATTAATGATTTATGGGAACTAGTGGGCTACGAAACAGTATCAACCCGTGATGATACACGCAATGAACTGGAGCGCGCAATAGAATGGCTTCTTAAACGACTGGCTGCCTTAGATGTTGTAGCCTTTGGTGAGCACATGGGCATGCAAATACTACCAGATTGCTTAAAAATCATACGTATGCCCAAAGTTATTATTGGAGTTCTTAAGCATTGTGCAAACAAGCCAACTATTCTAGTGTATGGTAACCTTGATGTGGAGGAAGCATTATTAGATGACGGTTGGGTTACAGATCCTTTTGTCATGGCGGAGATTGGAAATTATTTATATGGGCGAGGTGTGGCCCTCGATAAAGGACCACTGATGTGCTGGTTAAACGCTATTCAAGCATATCGTGATGCTGGCTTGCGACTTCCTATTAATTTAGTATTTCTTATTGAAAGCATGGCGCACAGTGGCAGTCTGGGCCTGCAGGATGTCTTACAGCAGCGTATCAGTTTTTTTCGCGAAGTATCCTGTGTTGTAATGGCTACTCGACGTTGGCAAAGCAATGTTACACCATGTATTGTATATGGTTCTAGAGGATTGGTATACTATCATTTGGAGGTTGAATGCGCCAATCGGTCTTTAAGTAGTTGTGAGCACTCTGGAACCTTGTTTGAGGCACTTCCTGATCTATTTTATTTGTTAAGCTCGCTTGTTGATTGTCAAATGCACATTCTTTTCGAAGGAACGCTGGAATCATTACAAATTGATAGAAATGTGTTTCGTTTCACAGAATTCAATTATCACGAGTTTGGTCAGAGTCTCGATGTCCAAGACCTGCCGCATCAAGCACAGAAGCAGGCGGCGTTGGCTGAAAACTGGGTCACGCCTCATTTATCAATACATGGAATTGAAGGTGCTAATGCCGAGAACAATGTACGTTTTATCATCCCACATAAAGTGACTGGAAAATTTTCAATTTCGATGGCACCCAATCAAAATTCTGCGCAGGTAACCCATGCCTTGCAGCAGCATCTTGGAAATGTGTGGGTACGAAGAAATTCTCCCAATAAGATGAAATTATGCGAAAAATTAGTAATACCTTCTTGGAACGGTCGCTGCGATAGTCCTGAATACAAGGCTGCTTTTCGCGCCATGACTCAAACTTACGAAATAAGTCCCAACTTTATTCGAGATGGTGGTGCCCTTATGGCTCCTTCACTCTTTCAACATTATTTACAGAAGAATGTGTTAGTTCTGCCTATTGCAAAGAATGATTGTGGTGGTTCTCCTGTTAACGAGAGAATAAGTACTCAAAACTATATTATGGGTGCCCAGCTTATGGCCGCTTTCATGTGGGAGTATGGAGAAAGTTTTCATCAGGTTGAGGATGTTAAATAGGATTTACTGTTGCGCTAAAAATACATTGTGTTAAGAAAAATATAGATAAGGTATATCCCGCTACACTTAATTGAATTTATTGAATGGGGTGGCAAAATCCGGGAGAAAAGCTAAAAAAACTAACAAAGATCATATAGGGATACAAATACTGCAAGGTATTGTTAAGAAATTCCCTATAAGAGTCATCTCCCAATATATTCGGGGTATTCCTCCAATGTAATAAATGTACAGTAACCCAATTAACGCATGATGATTGTCTGAATTCACTTTGTACAGCTTATTAAACCAGTTTCGTATAAAGTTGAAAACTTATTTACGACCCGGAAAAGTTGGGAATTAACAATGTTTTACACTAAAAGGAATCTTCTGAAGAATGTTTAATATAACGATATTAAACGAGAAAGAAAGTCTATCTTCGGCACGCCGAAGAACTTATACCCTTGCAAACCCAACCTATTCATAATGCTTATATTGGTTTGCTCGTAACTAAGAAGCACAGGGAAAATAGTTAATGCCATAATATCTTGACAAATAAAAAAAGGTTTTCAATCAAAAACCTAGTTTTCGATCGATCGTTCCTATGGCAGATATATAATATAGTAGTCCAATGTAAATAAGATTTCGCAAAAATAAAGGGAGCATAGTGAAATCTTTCAGTGCCGTGCTTAATCAAAATATCTTGAATGACAAACAATTTTTCCACACAACAGTTTAATTTTTGACCGATAGTTCCTACGGCAGCTATATGATATAGTGTACCGATCTTAATAGGATTTTGCATTTATATGGAGAGCATAGTAAAATTAATAAATGTAGAGTTTGGTCAAGACATCTTGAAAAACATAATAATTTTCATACAACAACTTAATTTTCGACCGATCGTTCCTATGGCAGCTTTATGATATAGTGATCCGATCTTATTATGATTTTGCCTTTATATGAGGAGTATGGTAAAACTAATAAATACCGAGTTTGGTCAAGATATCTTAAAAAACAAAATGTTTTTTCATCCAACAATTAAATTTACTACCGATCGTTCCTGTTGAGTTACTAATGTTTTTTAGCAACTGTTTAGAACCTAAACAAAGATATAAGTAAATTTTGCTCGTTATAATTCAGTTAATAAACCCTTGCCTAATAAGGCAAGTTCTTGTAGATTATAAGGTTATTTGGCTGTGGCTCAAAATTGGTTCTTCGCTTCGTCTCGATCAACAACGAACTGAGAGAGCAGACAAAAAAGGAATATGCAATTTATAGCAGCTGCGACAAGTACAAGAAAGGCTTGCCAACCTTGTTCCACTCGACCAAAATTACAACGTCTTCTTATGTTTACATGAAAATTGGTTATGCTAATTTGATGAGTCTGCTGCAGAATCCAACATACTCCTGCTGCAGAATCCATCCTTCTCAGGAATCAAGTTAACTATCCTACCAAGCGGCCACCGCATGGGAGGCAGATTTTCGTCTTTAACGAGCACCATATCGTTGATGCACAACGCTTGTGTTTGAGTGCGCCATTTAGCTCGCTGTTGTAAGGTGAGGTACTCTTCACGCCATCGAGCCCAGAACACCTGTTGTAGCTGCGTCACACGCTGCCAGCAGCCATCCAAACGGTCGTAGTTTAAGCAAGCTTTCATCCCAAATTAATTTGTCCTAACATAGCTGTTGAAGAAATATCTTTGCCTTAGTTATGACTGGTCCCAAAATTCCAAGCGGATCATAAAACCGGGCAACAATAGGCAGAACTGATCGCCTGCTGGGCTTAACAGTACAATCTAGAACAGAAAATGGAAATTACAACTGGTCGATCGCTGGATCCCACACAAGACGAAACGCCTTGGTGACATCGCTTCCATCATCGAACTTTAAGTACTGTTCCCTATCTTCATAAGCTATTCCATTGAGTACTTCTTGGTGACTGGAACACCACTTTCGACGCTTGAAGTTTCCACGAGACAATATCCCAGCCGTCTGACGAATTGTCTCTCTGGCTTCAGCAACTGAGTTGGCTCCGGGTATCAAATCGTTAACGTAAAACTCCTGCTTGATGGCATCCGATCCAATTGGAAATACATCTCGCTCATCAAAGGCCAACTGGTGCATTGCGCGCACGGACTGAAATTATGCTGATTTGGTCCCATATGTTACTATATCTAATTTAAAGATTTCGATATCCTTCTGAGGCGAGTCGCCCCACAGGGTACACTGGAAGTAACTTTCAGGTGAAGTCACTCGACACAACGATACATTTTGCAAATATCAGCTGTGAGAGCAACAGAATATGTGCGGAAGTGAATCAGAGTGTGAAACAACTTAGGTTGAATGATTGGTCCCGCCATCAGTACATCATTAAGAGAATGTCCAGAATCAGTACTTGCTGAGCCATCAAACACAATACGCAACTTGGTTGTGGTGTTGTCTTTTTTTAAGACGCAACGATGTGGGAGGAAGTATTTACAACAGCCACTTAACTCTGGACTAATTCGCGACATGTGATTTAGATCCAGAAACTCTTTGATGAATGCCGAATACTGCTCCTGCAGATGCGAATTCCGACCCAATTTTCGTTCAAGACTGAGAAATCGAAGATGAGACTGGCCATAAGACTCTTCTAGAAGCTCTGCACTCCGCTTCAGAGGCAACCGCATTGAATACTCGCTGTATGGTAAACGGGAGAAGTTATTTGCAAAATGCTGCTCACATTCGGCCTTTTTTTTGGTGGCCTTTACTGTACGCTCTTCCAAGCTTTCTATTTCGCATAACCGCCGAACGGACGGTCGTCCAACTGACTCGCTTTGCTATTAGGAGTGCGGCAGCCAACAATGAGGTACTGCGCGGCCTCTCAAATCCACCGGTCACGACCCAGCCAAGACGAGTTTTTTGCAGAAGAGGTAGTCCTGGCAAAAGCACAATTTGCCGAACAGACAAATGCTCATAGAAAAGGCTCGCTCCAATTAAGAGATCAACTCGCTGTGGTTTGTTGAACGCAGGATCAGCGAACCTTATGTGCGGGGGTATTTTCCAGTCTGATGTATCGATGACGAAGCTGGGCTGACTATAGCTCATAGAAAAGGCTCGCTCCAATTAAGAAATCCACTCTTTGTGGTTTGTTGAACGCAGGATCAGCCAACCTTATGTTCGGGGGAATTTTCCAGTCTGATGTATCGATGACGAAGCTGGGCTGACTATCGGTAATTGTTGGAGTCACAAGAGCATCAAAGGTGGCTGAATAATCTGAGACTTCATGTTAATCCTAACAGCTGATCCTTCAGTAGAGACGCTTGTGTCTCCGAGACCCATGACAACAGTCGACGACCTGGTTTTCCTTAGCTGAAGTCCCTGTGCATCTGCGAACCTGAGTCTAATAAGGCCCTACAGGGATACAAGGAACCAGAACTATTCTTTACCAGAACCACTGCAGTGGCCAGGAGCATAACACCGGACTAAAGACCTTGGACAGCAAGAGAGATAGCGGTGCAACAGTGTATGATGCTTTCCTCCACAAGTACTGCAAGACTGAGTTTGGTGTCCCTTCCTAGGCAGTTATAACAAAGGGCCAGTTTCTTGACTTCCGTATGCCGAAGGAATGGGGACAAATTTCCGAATTTACTACATATGTAGATAGTGACCAGACGCCTCACAAAAACTGCACCTATTTTGGTTAGTCTCAGCTACAAGCAATCTTTTGCTGTAGTTAGTGTTATGGTTGGATTGGCCCACCTGATAATTGGTTATATCGGATGACACGGCATGTTGCACGCTCTCCAGCCTTTGACTACGCCTTTCCAGAAATGTGAAGAACTGATCGGCTGTCGGGATTTTGTCAATGCCTGCGGCTTCCTCCCATTTGGTCTGAGTCTGGGTGTCCAACCTTTGAAGCAGCATGTGGACTATTATGCATCCCGCAATTTACTCCAAACTGCCCAAATTCTGTAATCATGCATATGCGGATTGACCTTGTCCGAGAACTCACGCTGTTTTGAAGCCGACTCCGAATCTACCCTCTTGAGCCCAAGAATCTTATCGATGTGTGCCTGGAAAACAAGACGTTTGTTACTAAATCTTTTATTTAGGATATCCAGAGCCACAGCATAATTGGCACCGGAAAGCTCCAAAGATCGAACCGAATCCAACGCAAGGCCAGACAAACATTAACGAAGAGGCTGCAACCTTTCAATGTTAAACAGCTCGGTATCCTTGTCAACAACTGACGCAAATATCGCGATTAAGTCCGAATATTCGTTATAACCACCGGAAAATATTGGTAATTTTAGCACGGGCAGGCGTGTTCTGTTGGCTAATATCAAGGTTTGGTTTAGCAAATCCTCATGACAAAGAAAGGTTGAGTGGGGCTGGCCGTTAGATTGACGACGCTGAACGCGAGTTTTAACCACGGCGATCAGCTCGTCAAAATCATAGCGTAGTTTGCTGCCAATTTCATCGAAATTAAGCTCCTCTAGCGAGTTATGCGCGGTATTAAATGCAGGCTTAGTTTGTTCAATTAGCAAAAGGCGTACTTCTAAGTCGATGGCACAAGAGTTGTTAATTTTATCTTCAGATAATTGGCTCGCTCAAACAATGCAACCGCTTTGCACTTAAGACAAGACACCCCGTTTGACTGCATATCATCTGTGTTCTCGCCTTGCATCATTTTTTCACAAGCACAAAATCAGAACGCCAGCTGTAAATGGTCAGCTCACACAGGCGGTTTGCAGTTGCCTAATTATAACAATTTACGATGATTATGTTCTACTTGAATATTCACAATTTTAATTTGCAATAGAATAAAAAGAATATGCTACTTATAGCAGCTGCGACAAGTGCGAAAAAGGCTTGCCAACCTTGCTTATAATAAACAGCTGTTCCACTAGACCAAAATTACAACCTGTTCTTATGTTTACAAGAATGTTTGCTTATGCTAATTTGATGAGGCTGCTGCAGAATCCAACAATTCATATGGCAGCTATATGATATAGTGGTCCGATTTTAATAAGATTTAGCATGCATATGAGGAGTAAAGTAAAACTAATAAATGTCAAGTTTGGTTAAAATATCGTAAAAAACAAAATG